TCAATTATGAAGGAAGCACCAACAAGACTGGAGTGTCACAAATGGAGAGAGAGAAAGAAGAAACTCTATCATGAAAGTAACGAATGGAATTCAAATACATCAAATCACTGTTCTTGACCTTTTTCTAAAGTTTTCAGCTTAAGAAAAATTTGTTCAACTGGATCAGAAATATTCTGACCTTGATCCCCTGGCACTTTGCTCCCTGAGCAGTTCCACGACTGCACAGAAATGTTGCTTTAAATTTGCTCAACAGTTGTTTAACTGCTTTAATACTCCAGAAAAAGGTTTTAATACTCCAGAACACTAATTAACGTAATGGCATCTGAAGGAGGAGGCAAAAAAAGGTCTGCTTCTACCTATTGATAAGGTTAACTAATAATCATGGTCATCCAGCTACACAACACCTTCTTCCATATTCCAGCTTTGGAATTAGGGTTGCTCTTTGCAATTCTTCAATTGCCCTAATTATCAAGGACATGGTTGTAAAAAGCACATGTATTACCCTTCTGATAGGTCCCCATAATTTCAAAAATAGCCTTTAAAAGCCTTGAAATTTTTATACTGATGAAAATATTATTAAAAACTACACTTCAAGAGTTTGAAGGTCTATTATCTGTGGGACCTGAAGATTGGAAAAAAATTAAAGACTACATGCGACTACCCTTCAAGGAAAATTATTTTCTTAACATTTCTGTTTAGAATGGAAGACACAAGCAAGCTCCAGCTACATCATTTGTGGGCTAATCTCAATATAACCTAACGATAGTTCTACAGGTAACTACAACTGTAGGGTTATTGTTGCTGGCTTAGCAAATATTTGACCTTAGCAGGTCAATTTAATTCTGTATTCTGGCAACTTTTAGAACATAAGATATGCTGGTTCAAAAAGCATTTAATGTGCTTTAAAAATGTCAGTTTCTGAAAGACTTTTCTTCATTTTACAACTTGTCATTAACCATTTGGGTTCCTGATATGTCTGTTCTGCTGTCAGACATTCCAGACCCCCAAATTCAATTAATCTAGCATTATGCAATAAGATGTGTTGTTAACATCTTTTTTTTCACAATTTGCACCTATTTTTGATCAAAGAGAAGTAGCAATAATTCAAACAGCACTAATATGGTTGGGAAGTCTGCACCTGCCATAAGGACAGTTTGTGGAGTAAAAATTAACAGTTTCAAGAGCAGTTCTCCGTCCTATTCACTGCGAACATGGACTGTCAGGAATAAGAAAGGCTGCTGTGGGGACAAAAACAGTTTCTATCCCACAGACAGGAGATGTGAAGAGTAAAGAGAAATGTGTCACGAAAGAATAGAAACATTTCAGAAGAACCAAAGCAAACACAAGTTGCAGTAGCACCATTTAATACAATAAACTCAAACCGGGTAAATTTTCCAAATATGGTATCTGGATTAAAAAAAAAAAACAAACCACAATGATGACTCCTATAAAAGGTTCCAGGTCCCTGCTCCCAGAGGGATATAAACCTCCCTCCAGCTCTGGTGCAAAGCCTTGGAGATTGGGTCTCCTGCTGAAGGGATGAACAAGGCACCAAGGTTATTTATGCTAACACGGACTGGCTACCAGTGAGCACACAAATGCATGAAACCTCTTTGTAGAGAGGTTTTTCATTTTAACCTTTATACGTTTTAATATGGATAATTAATAAAATGCCACAGTGCTTCACAATTCCCACGTGTATCAATAATTCATCTACTACCCAGCTAAGTAAAAAAATCATAAGAATTATTGTATTGCGTGCAAGGTTCCATCATCTTCACCACGAAGGTCACTCCCCTTCACTCTCACACATTTCTAACGGGATTAAAAAGCCTCAGAGAGTTGGGATTTCACCTGCTGCCTGACTCCTACGGGCTAAGGGTGCAGTCCTCTTCTCTGTGTGCACTGCTAGAAAAACGTGTAGGCACCAGCCAGGCTAATCAAGGCAAAATACAACCAGAAACTTGTCAAACGGGGCAGCTATTCCTTCTGCAGCCCAGGCAGTTCCCATCTGAATACATCAATAAGCCAAGCGGAGTCACATCTTTTAACAAATAAAACCAAGACAATGCTAAACCGTTTGCAAGGGCAGTCTAGTTTTTTATTTCTGCTTCCATGGAAAATTCACAGCAGTATTCCTTTTAAAAATGCTCAGTCCTTTTTAAAAAAATATCATTCTGAGCTACAGAGAGAAAATGGGACAAAAGAATTCCAAAGAGTTTTGTATGAATACTGGAGAGGAAAACGGCCACAGATTTTTCTTGGTGTTTCAGTTCCATTTTTGACTTTCCCTCTTCTCAACGCTTAAACTGGCCATTGCCCACTGGCATTTAAATAATTAGTACAGGACAGGAAGAGGTTGGACTGAAGGGTAGTGAGGTCTTTCTCTGCCTGGATATTTGGAGGTGATGATTAGTCTGCGCGAGGGGTCTGGAGAACAAGCCTTTACGAGGAGCAGCTGAGGGAGCTGGGGGTGTTCAGCCTGGAGAAAAGGAGGCTGAGGGGAGACCTTCTCACTCTCTACAGCTCCCTGAAAGGAGGCTGTAGCCAGGGAGGGACGGTCTCTTCTCCCAAGTCACAGGCGATGGGACAAGAGGAAATGGCCTCAAGTTGTGCCAGGGGAGGTTTAGGATGGATATTAGGAGAAATTTTTACACTGAGGGTTATTAAGCCTTGGAATGGGCTGCCCAGGGAAGTGGTTGAATCATCATCCCTGGAGGGGATTTAAAAAAGCCAGGCTGACATAGTGCTTAGTGACACAGTTTAGTGATGGTATTTTATCAGAGTTAGGTTGATGATTGGACTAGATGATCTCAAAGGTCCCTTCCAACCTCGACAATTCTATGATTCTATATAAGATAGCTCTTCAGAGGTTTCCAGCTCAAGGTATTTCTGCGTTCAGTGCTACATTAGAACATGCCATCCATGTAACTCCTCATGCTGCTTGGCTGTGAAATGTATTAGAGAACTGATCTGATTTAAAGCAAACAAAACCAACTCATATATATACATATTTGTATGTAATAGCTGTGCTACTTTTTCCCAAGTCAGTTACCCACTCTAATTCATCCCAGCAGCATGACATTACCCTAGTATTGCTACTGACTGCTTAGTATTAGCCAAGTTCAATCACAGCTTCATGGCTACCACTGGCTTTTAAAAACACAGTGACCTGGAGGTTCAGTGGAAAACAAAGAGGTACCTCTTCAGGCCAACCCAACCACCAGAACAGCTACAGGAATTCAGTCCCAGCATCAGCGCAGAGAGACGATCAGTCCAGGATTAGGAAGGCAAAACAGGCAAAGAATCAGTCCCAGAGGCCTGGTCCAGCCTGGCCCAGGACTCCAAAAACAAACCAGTAACCTCTTAAGGCTATGGAAGTCGTGATGACACTAAGATTTAAGAATTATGTTTAAAAGGCTTGGCTGTCTGGGCACAAGTCTGCCAATCTCAGTGCACTCTTTACAAACAAAACTGTGTGTTTGTGCATTTGCAAACTCCACTTTGCTCCGAGGGTCAGACCATCACAGCATGATGCAAAACCCAATCCATCCGCAAGCAGAAAGGCACATGCAGTTTAAGAGTTTTAGGATTCCAGAAGTTCCACCAAGGTGCACATCCAGAACTGCCACAGGTCTGGCCAAGGACATATAGATGTTTCAGACCCACTGAGCAGCCCCCCCCCGGCTCTGTCCAGGCCACCATGCATGAACCCCCCTTAACACGCGTTGGCAGAGCTGGATTCAGCATCAAGCACAGCTCAATATCAGCCCTACCAAGCCCCAGCACGCGGGGGTATCACTCATGCAAAATGCACAAACTCCACTGACAACAGAGAATCCAAATTTCTCCCTATCCCAGATGGGTGCCCATCAGGGTCTGGCCCATCCCCGGTCCCCCAGTGTCCCTGCCTGAGATAGAAATGCAAGTCTCGCCGTTTGAAGATCCCCACCTTCTTATTTCCACACCACAGATAGGTTTCCTAAATCGACTTCCAAAGGCAAGCAGATAAAATCTTTGGCATTGGAGAAGTTGGCGATCTAGCGAACACCAAAAAGTCATCTCAGCCTAAATTCCAGGCTCTAGTTCTCACCTGGCCAAGAGCAAGCCAGTGAGTAAGGCAGATCTTCAAGAGCAAGCTTACTGGTGAGCACACAAGAGTTCCTGTGGGCTGCCCAGGCGTGCAAGGCATCACAAGCACGGGAATCCAGCAGCTGAGGTCACGCACCTCACATGTATCCTACAGGAGGAATGTGCTCGGGCTTGCCACAAGCTATACATCTTCTGTTTCTTCTCTAAACGTACACAGTTTGGTGCACACAAGTGCACTTCTCCACTCTCTCTCAACGTTTCCTGGTTTTTTTTTTTTTCGTCTTTAGAGAAAAAGAAAAATGCCAACAACCCACTCCTTACAAGCAATTTCATCCTTTAACACACTGGGGTTTGTGCAGGCCAAGTAACATTTTTGGTAAAGAATATAATTGCAATTGCACGTTTCTGAGGTATTGTAAATAGCATGAAATTATTTTAAAATGTTATGAAAAATGCATTTGCAGTGTTCCTTTAAGTGTTTTAACAAAGCTTTGGTTGAAATTGCTTTATTCCAAAGCAATCGAAGATAGAGTATTTTTCTAAGGACCTCTTTATCTCCCTGCGAATGACTGAGATACAGATACTTTCCAGAAAGAGAATGCACCAGAAAATATGCACCTTTAGGTTTTACTAGATACTTAGGTATCTAGTGCCAGAAAACATCAGCTGCTGTTTCTGAAGAGGGGGTTGCAGCCGAAGCAAACCAGCACGATTAGCAGAGCCCCAGCAGTGCTGAGGGGCTTCATCCAAGGTTAGGTCTGGGGCCGTACAAACATCCAGGCTCTATTCGGTTTGGTCAAGCCATTCGACAGCCAAAGCAGCAGCAGTTCCACAGATTAAAAGCAAAAAAAGAAGCTAAATTAGGCAGCACCTTCATGCCATCTTCCAGGATATACAGTATCACATACCTCCTTGTCAAACTCCTTGGACAACATAGATAAATAAAATAAATATTGGCCTAAACAAGCTGGTCAGAAGAGAGATTGTTATCATTCAGGGCTGTAAATGTCTCTACAGGGCCAGGATCATGCCTCTAACAGGTCATTTGAAGCACATTTGGAAGAGCTCCTCCAACCTCCTGGGACACACAGCTGCATAGGAAGAGGAATTAATTTCCCGATGTGGTTAAGACCCAGACAATTTTAAATACTTTTCAGCAGGTATCACAACAGCTGGGACTCACATAAGGATGTACACATCACTGTTTGCACCGGTGACACTCCCCCAGAACTACACACAAAGTGGGGTCACTCTGCAATTCCTCTTACAGGGACACCAGAATGGGAAAGGGCATGTTTCAAAAACTTCTTCAGACCACTGGCAGTTGCAACGTGTGATCCCATCAGAACCTCTTGAACCTCTTAAAGACATAAATCAACCTTTGCCACCATCTCCTCTCGCTCTGATAAAGAAAGCAGGGTTGGAGGGGCGGGAATAGTAGCACAAAGGAACAGATAATCTCAATTTTGAGACAAAATCCCCAGCGTAATAAAGCTCCCTTTCGGGGTAAGTTGGTGTTTGCTGCAGAAGAGAGCTCTACGGACTGTTTCCACAGGACAGTGGCACCACGAGTGCCTTCCCTGGGATTATTCTTGCCACCCATAACTCATGGTGCACCTTGTGGGATTGGGACTCGAGCAGTTCTCCTGAGGGTAAGTGCCATGAGCAAAAGCCTTGTGCAGTAAAAGAAAGCAAATGAAACCAAACACACAAACAATGGCAGGGAGGAGAGGGAAGGGGAGTAAAGGATTGGGTGGGTGTCAAGAGGATGGGGCCAGTCTTTTTCAGTGATGCCCAGTGACAGGAGGTAATGGGCACAAACCTGAATATCAGAAGTTCCATCTCAACATGAGGAGGAACTTCTTTCCCGTGAGGGTGGCAGAGCCCTGGCAGAGGCTGCCCAGAGAGGTGGTGGAGTCTCCTTCTCTGGAGACATTCAACCCCCCCTGGACACGTTCCTGTGGGACCTGCTCTGGGTGGCCCTGCTCTGGCAGGGAGTTGGACTGGATGATCTGCAGAGGTCCCTTCCAACCCCATATCATTCTGGGATTCTGTGATCTAATAGTTCCAGCATGGTTTGGAATCACATTTATTTAGAACCGCATTGCCACGGTGTTTGTGTTTCAGCCATCGCTTCCCCAGACCTCATGAACACCCATGGCCCAGCACAGGCACTGGGTCATTTCTGCACACAACAAGGCTCACAGAGCCAGGGCCAGAGGCATCAATCCTTCACAGAACCCCAATTAATTCCATCAAGGTGATGCATCTTGCAGGACTGGGGTGTTCAGTGGGAAACACCTGACTATATTAACACCAAGACTTACAAGCAGCTTGTGATGGGGACTAACTTTTTTTGATGTGACAAGGTTTAGGATTTTAAAGGTAAATATGGCAGTAACTGGAAAGAAGATGTAACTGCATCGATACAGTTTCCATAGTAAACACTTTCAGAAAAACACAAGCAGAAAGAGAATAAAAAATTGTTAAATATACCAATACTGCATAACAAATTTTCTTTACCTTGCATTAGAAACTTCCCAAATATTCTCATGTAAGTAAAGTCAGCAGCAAATCTCTTTCTGTTACCTTATTGATATATTTCTGAGAGTCAGGCACCTGTTTTTCAAAAGACTTAAGCATGCACTTAGTATTAAGCATGCAAGCAGTCCCACCAGGTACTGGTGGAAGGGTCATGCCTTTACTCGAACAGTTATTTTACAACAAGCTTTTTTAGCATGTGATATTTGTGTTCACTTTGTTCATAAGACAATAATTTTAAAATAACTTTTACATTCCGGGTCATGGAGGCAACCAGGATGTGCCCAATGGATCAAAGATCACACATGCATCAAGAAACAATTACATTAGAAAAAGAGGGATGCACCACAGTACTTCAAAATCATGTCCTATATCACTACTGTGCAGTTCAAAACAAATATCAAAATTTATTCACACGTTGTCCACAGCAGAGATGGAAGTTTAATGGGGTACAAGTGCTTCCATGCTAAGCCCACAGTTTTCACACAGTTTCTAAGGTTTAATTTCTCTACTGAAATCATTCAAATTTGGAATTTTCTTTGACGCAATTTTTAACTGTTTTGAGTGTAGCTTAGTGGTTATGAAATACAAAGTTTAAAAATATTCTATCTACTACCTGCTATTACAAGTATCAGTTTCCGACCTTATGTTGAACGGGCAAAGTAGCACAGTGGCAAAGGCAAAGTCAGCTACGCGACAAGGTCTCACTGAGAAGCACCTTGGAACTTTCCACCAAAAATAAGTTTACATTTTAGCAAGCAGTAGGACTTTACAAAAGGCAGCAAGCTACAGGTGGCACATGCAATACAATACAGAATGGTGCAGCGGTATCCAGACCAAGGGTAGCTTACATTCACTCAACAGGCACAGGGAATTTTGCTGTAAAACACACAGCGGGTGACTGGCACACACTCATGGCATTAGCCAGACCACCTCACTTCTCTTTAGAAGCATCTGGCTCAAGGGCAGAAAAACTATTCCGTCATTAAACACTCAGAATGAAGAAATAAAGCATGACACACTAGATAAAATGTCATTATTGCTCCGTGCATGTGTTAACAGAAAGACTTTCCAAATAGGCTGTTTTCTGTGCAATTCAGAAAAAGAAACCAGTACCTGTGACGGCATTTTCATTACCAATGGGGTAAAAATCTCCTGGAACATCTCACCTGCAGTTTCTATTGGCAATTTGTGCAAATATAATTTAGAGTGCAGTTTTCACAAAGCACTTTCAGACAACGTTTTCAAAGATTCAGAAAAGCCACTGATATGCAATATACATATTGCACAAATCAGAAAAACGTTGTATAAATTGTAAGAGACTGAGTAACACAGAGTGAAGAAAATTAAATGGTACTGGGATGGACACTAAAGATCCCATGCATAAAAGCTTTGCCCATTTCTTGATACCTGAGTGCTTAACTACGCAGCCTTAACAGTATCCTGTTTGGGTTTTCCTTTTGACAGGCTGAATTCCTAGAGTCACGTCAATGTCAACATTTAAACTCTTGCAAGCAAAGAACAATTACATTCAATCCCAAGCACTCATATGCCTAAGACGGTGTAATTAAAAAAATGAAATGAAGCGGTCATGCAGGATACTGGCAAGGACAAGACACTAAAGGGATTTTAGAAAAATCACTCGACTCACCAGTCCATTGTTTGGCTGAGGTGAAAAAGGCAAACATTACTGAGATGCATCAGTGAGGAAGTTAGAACACAAATCAAGGCCCGTGCCTGCAAGCACATGTGAATAACTTCAGGCCCGGGAGCTCTTTCCATGGCAAAGTCATTCACAGGTGTGCTTGCAGAACCCAGCTCAGCTGTTACCGTTAGGAGCACAAAACACTACTTACATTCTGCCACTGACTTCAATAAAAATAGAAATTCATCTGTGTTTAACAGCAACTATTTCACCTCAGGAAGATAAAAACCCTTCAAGTCTCACAAGGTAACTTAATAATTAATCCATTCTGGCTGCTCCCGGCTCTATTTTTTTTTTTCCAAACACATTCAAGCCTGCAGAAGGTACATGAGGGCTGTAAACCCTGCAGCACAAACTGCTGTGTCTCTGCCTTGCGATGCACCAAGGATGCTTCTGACACTAGTGACAAGCCATTCTTCTTTTTCTCAGGTATCTCTCTGCCAAGCTTGATGTAATCAGAAACATACGATATTCCGATCAGTTTCTCCTTAAGCATTGGGCCTTTACAACAAGCGCTTGTAAAGATTTTGGTGATTTGAATTGTGAAATAAGCGAAGCCAAAAGGAAAAAGACCACATGCAAAGGTGTAGCACGGGGCACACATGTATACCAGGTCAGAGAAACACTAACTACAGATGCAACATTTTTTAAGTGTATGTGAGCAGCACAGATTCAAAGGCATTGAGGATTAAGAACTGCTACTTGGAGAGGAAAGGCAAGTAGACGGTTCATAAATGGGGCGAATGGAAGACTTTTAAGTCTTGTAACACCAAGAGTTTGGTAAGATGCAACTGATGTGCTGCGTGTACGGACCAGTGGGCAACCAAAAAAGAAAAGCTAGGCAGGACGGCTAAGATCTATAAATAATAAACATAAAATTTGGGGATGACTGTTTCATACACCCCAGCAGAAGACTCATATGTTGCCCAGTCCATTAGAGCAGTGTGCGTTTCAGATAAGGAGGCTCTTAGTGAGGAAGGTGTTGACAGGAGCAGCTCTGTGAGGGACTAACTGAAAGAGAGGAGCGTACAACTCTGGCCAGACTGAGCACATGTGCTGCTTCACGCTGTTTGGGGAAGTTCTGTTTTCTCGATGTAAGTTTCACCACTGACCCATGTGACCCATTTTTTTCTCAAGCCTCAGTATTCAAAAAAGAAACTGAATGAAACCTACTAGTAAGTTTTGAAACAACAATATTACATACAAATTCATCTGCCTTAGAAGTGGAATACCTATTTTTACATGGCCTTGATCCAGCTAATGGGTAATTTGTTTTTTTTTTTCTGGAAGTGTGCTATTAAACAACTGATAAAACTATTTCAATTCATTTACCCTTCTGAAAAGCCTAACTAGCAGGTATCAACCTGAGAGGAGAGCAGAGAGACGTGAAACTGGTTGTAAATTATAATCAGATGTGAAAACAGAAGGTGAAAAAAAAAAAAGAAAAAAAGAGGTGTATAGAGAAAATGGAAGAAGCAAAAAGGGACTGTCACACTCGGGCCTACAAGCGGGTCAGGGCCCACATTTTGCCTGCTGTGGGCATGGCGAGCCCAAGGTCCTGTCCCAAGGACCCACAGCCTTCTCTCCTCCAAAAATAAGTGTATATATAACACGTATGTATTTTTTTTACGCATCTATACATCGGGGGTGTATGGCGGGGTACTGACAGAGGCACGGCTGGGCCTAACAGGAGCCGCGGCCTCGCCGGGCCGGGATGCGGGCAGGGTTTGGGGGAAGGAGCCGCGGGGGGCACCCGCACCGCTTCGGGCCTCACCGAGCCGCGGCGGCGCCGGCACGGCGGGACCCAGCGCCGCCTCCCCGGCAGCGGGAGGCAGATGGTGGGTTTCCAGCGGAGAGCAGGCCCCGCTCCCCGCCCGCCGGCATGGAGCTGGGGGGGAAGGCCGCCCCCGCAGCCCACCCTCCTTCCTCCCCCGGGGCCGGCGGCCGTGGAACCGCGAGGAGGAAGGAGGCGCCACCCGCCGAGTTTCGCCAAGGACAGGCCCGAGGTCAAAGCCGGCAGCCGCCCGCCTCCCGCCGCGGCCCCTTCCCCGCCGCCCAACGGCCGGGCTGGCGCGCACCGAGCGCCCCGCCGCCTCCCCGCCCGCCGGCGGTGACTTACCTTGGCAGCCATGCTGTGCCCGGCGCGGCCACCCCCTTCCCTTCCCTTCCCTTCCCGTCCCTTCCCTTCCTCCCCTCCCCTCCCCTCCCTTCCGACCGCGGCAAGGCAGCTTCCCCGCCTGCGCACCAGCCCGCCAGCGCCGGCCGTCACCGCTCTCCCAGGCGCGGACGGGGCGCTCGGCGCCGACAGCCCATTGGCTGTACCCGGCCCGGCCCGGCTGCGGCCCCCGTCATCGCCCGGACCGGCCCGGCACGGCCCCGCGGGGGCTGCGGGCTCCGCGCCCAGCACCGGAGATGCGGCCTCGGGCAGCGACGGGGCGCGGGCCTTTCGGGGCCGGTACCGCCTCACCCCTGCGAGGGGCTCGGGTTAGATCAGGTTTTCCCCTCCCGTGGGCTGGTGGCCTCCGGGTCGCCTCACAGGGACTGCGGGCCCCCCCGGGGTCTTGCAGCCCTCTCTGACCGCACCAGCCATTGCCGACTGGTGCTGTTAAGCCGGGGAGATGCCTCCAGCATGGTAGGAGGATGCCCAGGCAGATGGCAGAAAGATGCTGAACCCCCCTGCGAGGGGCCCGGTTTAGCTCAGGTTTTCCCTTCAGGTGGGCTGGCGGCTTCCGAGTCCCCTCACAGGGACTGAGGGCCCCCTCGGAGCCTTGCGGCCCCCTCGGAGCCTTGCAGCCCCCTCTGACCGCACCAGCCATTGCTGACTGGTGCTGTTAAGCCGGGGAGATGCCTCCATCGTGGTGGTAGGACACCGGGACAGGTGGCAGAAGGATGCCCAACACCTTCACAGCAGCCCCTCGACAAGCCCTGCGCTCCTGCCCAGAGCTGTGCTCATCCCCGTGAGCGAGGGATGTTTCACCCGGTGGCCGTACACCAAGGCCTCATTCTGGCACGTCCCGAGAACGAGCTGTGCTTTCAACCAAATTCTGTTAATGCCGTTTTAGTTCCTGAGTCGGCGTGAAACTGACACATAAGCGGCCCCGGGCAAGCCCACGGCTGTACCCGGGATGACCACAAGTACGGCAGGCTCGGCCTCCCAGACAGTTTGCAGACTGTCTCCAGACAGCCTGTCTGGGCATGTTTGGCCACGTACCACTTGGCACGCAGGCCAGTGGCTGCCACCAGCCCATCGCCAGCCCTGCCGATGCCCGCTCTGGCTGGCCTCAGGGCTTATGGCTCCCGGGGGTGGGTTTTAGGCTGGCCTGAGGCTGGTGGTGCAGACAGGGAACTTGTCACCTTCGTGTGGATAAAGTGTAGCTCAGGGGTGAGGTTTTTGCGTTTATAATTGGGTATCGAGTTCGTCATAGCTTCGAGGTGGATCTTCCAGCATTTTCCCTAAAGTGAGTTTCGTAAAGATACTGAAAAGGCAGAGGATCTCAAAGCCAGATTTATTACAATATAAACCAGAACAATGAACTAATTAATTGTCTTTAATTCTATTAGAGGGAGACAGTAGATAAATTAAAAGGATTCATAAATGCATCTTCCCTTTCCCACTATATATCTTTGCAGGATGGCCCTTATTATATTTGTTTCCAGTCCAGTGAATTAATGACCCTCTGGTTTGCAGCAAATTGTACACAATCTCCTCTGTGTCCCTCAGAGGTTTCTTCCATCGCCTGCGAGGGCTGGCAGCGTATCTCCCTCCTCCGCTTCTCAGCGGTTTTCCAGTCTCTGCCTCTTGTAAAACCCTCCCACTTGCTGGATCCTCTTCCTTTCTTACCTGCCCCGCATCCGCCGCGTGTGCTCGGCTGATCTGAGAGACAGCACAGCCTTTCTCTTCTTGCTGCATTTCCCTGACCTAGAAAACAGCAGTTAGAGCAAAGCAGACTCGGAGCCTTCACCCAGCCACGTCTTTTCAAATGAACACAAAAACAGATTATGTGGTGCCTATCTGCAAACTAGATAAGTAAATACTGTCACCTTGTCATAAATGAATGGATAATAGCAGTCCACTTATAAACAACAAAAACCAATCCTGGATTATTTTAATAATACCACTAAGAAGGGAAAAATTACAGAGAGAAAATAGCATAATTGTCTTGGAATACAAATACAACACTTGGTGAATATTTGGAAGCCAGGATATTTAGATATGAGTCTGAAAGTCTGTCCTATTGCACTTTATTTTGTGAAAACAGGCTTCAGTGGGTGGGGTTTTTTCCTTATTAAGGCTGCTAAGAAAATTGCTACGGTTCTCACCTTATACTGCCACATGGTCTTGAACCAATTGCCGAGGAAAAGCACAAGCCAAAAACCTGCCTGTGTTTCAAGTAGGATGGTGGTGAAACTCAGAGGGGTAAACTAAAAGGGATGACCCTGGAAAGCCTCGTTCAACCGCTCCCCAGGTGCGACAGCGTCCGAGCTCTTCATTTTCCAGCCATCAGGAGCTCCAGGTGCCCCATGTCCTGAGCGTGCCTTCAGCAGTGCCACAGTCCCCATGAGGCTGGAAGGTCATTGCCTGACTGACGGGAAAGCCTGAGCACCATCAGCATAAAGGGTTTGGGCTGGGCACAGCCAACACGTACGTTTAGGCCCAAGTTCTTTATCTTCCTAGAAAGGCGGTGGAGGCTAATGTTCACTTTTAAACAGGGAAGTGATATGGCTGTAGCAGATTGCAGCGCTGTCTTTGGCTACGTAACCCACTGGTTTTCAAAGTCCGCTGGTGACTGAGGTTAGATTCAGGCCCGTGTGTCATGCTCCTTTGTTCTAACCACAAAGCTGTTGACTGCGCTGGGGGACTGAGGAGGAAAGTTCTTCATTCCTTCTAGAGAAACTGTGTCACTGGGTGGAGGAGAATCCAAGGTTAGCTGGACCAGAGAGACGCATGACTCCTACGTGTGATAAAATGCAATGGGATGAGGGCAAAATGGGCAGCCAGTTTTCATTACAAGACACATAATGCATTTCTTGGAGAAGTTAGGATCTTGTGTCTCCTCAACCAATGGCTTTTTCTGTGTCTTTACATGTAACCCTCACAAGACAGAGCACAGAATCATTCCAGGGAATGAGAAACCACCTAGAGTTATGCTCCTTCTGCTGTCCTCTTCTGATACGAAGCATCTTGAGCTTGTTTGAGGACGGGTTTTGTAGGAAGAGCTGTAGATTGTTTCCAAAACAAGCCACAACCTAGTGCTTGGACACTGTCCTTGAGGTGAAAAATTAGGCTTTGATTGTTTTCATGTGGAATAGAGAGAGCTGATTTGCTGCTGGTGTTCTAACTATTAGGGTATTGTATAGAGGGCAACCATATTTCAACAGGCCCATAGGTTTTTGCTGAACTTATTAAAGATTGCCCTGGGGAGCCTGGCAGCCTGGAACTTGTAGGATTTTTCAGTCTTGACTGATAAAGTATCGACATTTTCCTACTGACTAAAGGCAGAGCCCAGTGTGCTGGCTAGTTTGGATCCAATTCTGGCATCCATTCCTCTTTCTGGGACATCTCTTACAACACTCTGGATTTTGCACTGGAAGCCAGATGCCTAAAATGTAGGCCTTGCAGTGTGGAGCTTAAAGGCAAGAAAAGATCTCGGACCTGCTAAGAACTGAATGCATCTGGAGAGAGCTGGAAAGGACTGGATCTGGAAAAGATGAGATCTGGAAAGATGTGGGCGTACCGAGTACCTTGGCGAAAGGCTGAGGTAAAGCAAAGCCCTCAAGACCTATGATACTATCCAAATTATTGAGCTGATTTCCTCAGTACACCTTCTCACTGCCCCACACATAGTAATTGTCTTCCAGGCAACTTCTTTTGTGTTCTATTATACATACAGCAGCACGCGGACCATGCTATATGTTAACTTACCACAAAACTTGCACCAAATATGTCTTACAGTGTATAGTAGAAATAAGCAAGTGGCCTCGTTCCTGGTGGGAAAGAGCTGAATACTCAAAAGAAACAAGGACAAGGTTTTCCTGAGCAGATTTTTTTGAAATAGCTCTTAAAACTCTTTATTGACTCCACTCCCTCAGTGAAACTTCAAGGAAAGGGATGAAGCATTGTCCCCTTCCTTAGGTCAAGGGTTTGGTTGGGGTATTTTGTTGTTTCTGTGGATTTGTGCTTTGTTTTGTTTTTAAATAAAGGCTGTCTGGCTGATGTGAGTTAGCACTTCAGTTTTAGTGAATCTTAGCCAAGAATTTGTGCTCACACAGTAGGCCTAACCCTGAGAATTTCTCTAATAAAATAAAGCATGACTCAGTCTGAATGAATCATTCACAATTCTTCTTTCTCTGTTTGAAGAATATTCACAGCAGATCCTGATTTCCTCAAGCATATTTGCTGTTTTTCTGGCTATTTTATAACGCTGTCTGACAATTGTCAGTGTTTCCTTTTTTGCTGCTGTTTTTTTAATATATCACACATATTTGTAATGTAAACCCCGTTGTTTATCTGTGATTGCCGAGGTCAGCCAAACATGGGCTTGTTTCCTGTTCCTTAGAAAAGAAGATTTTCAAATACTTTCACGTGCACGTCTAAAATTCATCGTCTGCCAGGGCTATGTTTTAGAAATGCATCTGAAATAACCCAGGGAATGTTGATGCTGATTATGAACAGAGGGCTAATTCTTCTGTTGGTGTAAATCAACGTAGCTGGTAGATTTGTGCTGATTTACATTGGTAAAGCCCAGAAAATAGCGGGGATATACGACAAACAAAAGATGCTATATTTATTTCATAAGTGAAAAATACTTCCTAACTCAGGCACACCACTGGCATGAATAAGTTATGAAAAATCTTCACAGCCAAAAGAACATAATCATCCTTCATGTATAACAGATTTGTTTATTCTGTAAAGATTCATTTCAGTTGATTAATTATCAGTATCTGCTGATGGTGGAGGTAACAAGCCATCTCTGATGAGAGAATCATTTTAGGACATGCTCAGAATATTTTATCGCCGAGCACAAGTTGTGTATGCTTAGAATATTTATCACACTGTGTAGTAACAGCATCACATTTTTAAAGCTAAGTACTGAATGGAAATTATATTACAGATACAGGAGTTATCTATATTTTTCTTGAGATTTTTTAATAAGAGGGA